CTATTTTACAAGAAAAAGGAATTCATTAGTTTTAAATATTTTAACGAAGGAAACTGCTTCTTCCCCCACTATCTCTTCTCCACTTAATTTACTCATCATAACAACAGTTTTTTTTTACTACAAAAACTTTCGACAAATTTTTATTTTAAATAAACATATTTCAATTATGGAGTATTTTTTTACTATATAAAAATTTCTCAAATTCATTTAATCTAATATGATATTTAGTCAATCTTTATATTGAAACTATATTACATATCAATATTATTAATTTTAATATTTAACATTTATGTTTATAACTTTTTTTTTGTTGTCAACATGTTTATAACTTTAAGTAATTGAAAACAAAATTAAGAAACCTAAATTATTTTTAACCCATGCAACGCATGGGCCTTAACACTAGTTTAGGGTATAATCCAATTGACAAACAGTTCAAAGTATTATGTATATCATTGGCGCTTCGTTGAACAGAGGAGAAGTTATCGCTTGAGCATCAAGTTATCACATTAGAGAATGGAAGGAGAAATCTCTTATGGAGAAAGAATGAATGTTGTATACCTTTATATGACCTAAGTGATGATGGGATATGCATCAGTGGTGTTTTGTATTATAAATCAGGAGGCAAAGAACCAATGACGTGTTGTTTTGATGTTAGGTCTGAGAGATTGGATTTTATATCTCGGAAGAGAGGTTCAACTATGGTAAACTACAAAAAAGTAAATTAGGTGCGGTTGATAATCGTGATGAAAAGTATTTTGTTTTGTGTGTTTTAGAAAATTTTGAGGAACACATATGGTCAAAGCATGGAACATACATTGTTCTGTTGGAACACATATGGTCAAAGCATGGAACACACATTGAGGAACACACAGAGGAACACACATTGTATTATCAACCCAGAAAATAAAATAAAATAAGTTAGGTGTTTACTAGTATTAAAATTTAATGAACATCTTATAGTTCTAATAACATTGCTAACTTAGCCAAATTTCATTAATAATTAATGAGATATGAAAATTTAATAAAATAATAGATATTAAATCTAATAATATTTAAATAAAATTATAATCTTTTGCTTTTTTATTTTTATGATTTAAATTTTGAGATACTTCTTAAATTGTGTTTAAAATACTAAATCATAAAGTATATTTTAATATATCAATTTAATTTTAATTAGCAAAATTAATTGAAAAAGATGATGTTATATAAAATAGTTAATTATTAAATAATGATTTAGTTATGTAAATAAATTCAATTAATAAAGACATGTGGAAAAAGAGGTGACAAAAGCTAATTTTACATATCTATATATAACAACCAACATGTTCTAGATTTTGATATCAAGTTTTGGAAGTTGGTTTGTTTGGTTATTGGATTGGTATATACGCAGAATCAAAAGGAGAGGTGTCTCTATACAAATCGCTTATGTTTCAGCTTATGAAAACTAAGCCTTTATATTCAAATAATCTCTAGAAAATAAACCTTTATCAGCATTTGATTCCTTCGGTTTTTTTGTACACACTAGAAGTTGGTTTCGTGGATTTAGGTTTTAGTATATGGTACACACTCTCTTGTTTTTTTTTTTTTTTAAACTAATCTTGTTTTTTTCATTCTTCGCAACCGTAGATTTAATGGCAAATGCAAATCGAAATGATTGGCAAGAGGAGGTTTACCAAAAGGTATTTCTATATCATTTTAACGTTTGCTATATTATTTTTGATCCAAGACAAAAAAAAAAAAAAAACAGTTTGCTATATATCTTACATAGATATAATCACGGTGATGAGTAATCGTATAATCTTTGCAGATTAAACCCATTAAAGAGATCTACTTACCAAAGCTGAATGAAATGTACAAGATAATGAATGCCAGATTGCATCTAGTAAGCATTTTTTTTTTACGTAATAGTAGTAAGTAACTTATGAAAGGGAGTCATGGATTAAATGCAATTAGATGGGTTGGTTATTGGCTTATTGCAAAAAAGAAAAGTCATACATAAGCATGCATCTATGTGTTTGTTGTGTTATTTTCTTGTTGAACACGTTCCTTTTTTTTTTCTCTCCAGGAGTTGTCTCAACTGGAGCCAAGATCAGTTTATGTGAATGAGAAAGTGAGACCATTTATGGCAATGTTGGAGAAAATGATACAATTCCTATGCGTTTCAAAGAGCAATATCCAACCTGGTTTAAAGGATACGGTGGGTACTATGGAGATGCAGATTAAAGAGCTCTTAAGGATTTACAAGCAGATCGAAGAGAATTTAGCCAAAAAAAAAGAAGGACAGAGCTCTAAAACTAAATGAAGAAGATCAGTCTCATGATAATAATATTCCAAACAAAAAAAAATGCTATTAAGTCCTCAATGATGTTGATATTGACTCTTCTGA